GGTCAGTATTCCTCTCTACCCACGAAGATACAGCCCTTTACATTTTTGCAGCTGTGTATTGAAAAAAATTAAAGGTCAGATTCTGCAATACTAATTGTACAATTAAACACACTGAAACCACAACAAAGTGTCCACATTAAACGCTGAAATTGTTTTACATTGTCCCGATTATTAAAAGCATGCTTGCATGAAAGCAAAATTATTAACAGCTTGTTCCACCATAACAAACATTTCTGTTTAATGAGAAATACAGGACAGCGTTATTGGATACTGTGTCCACTGCATCTGAGTGAACACTAACATTTTGGTGTAGGAATTTTATGTATTGACTCACTACTATTTCACATCAAGCAAAATATGGAACAGGACATTCCATTGAAATTTCTCTAAAGTCCCTGACCCTGAGTGAAACTTGTGTCCGGCTTCAAAATAAAATATAAACATTCCAGGGCTTGATTTCCAAAAAGAAAACCATGCTCTCACTTCAACCCACCTATGGAGGAGCCATATCGTCTGTAGTACTTCAGTAATAATCCAGATGGACACAATGATCAAAATCAGTTCTAAATAATGTCTCAACCCAACTGGGACTCTTGCTATTTAATCCAGTCTCCCAGGGAAATGGTGAATACACAGTCTGATCTTGCAACATGCCTGGAGCTCAACAAACTCAGTTCCAAGGGGTAGTGAGGACTGATTCCACCCAACATCTTCCCCAGACCTTAGAAATAAAACCCTAGGGCCTATCAGACTGAGTTTCTGATGGCGTATGCTTATCTCAGTGCATGTATTTATTCCAGCAGAGTTGGTTTAGTGAATGAAGAGAGGTGGTCTCTCAGACTATGTCTACACTATCAACTAGGGATGTGATTCAGCTCATTACACATGCTCACACGAATTTTCACTGAGTTAGTGTGAGTGTAAACAGAAATCAAAACAAAGCTACAGTTGCAAGCATAGTAAAGTGGCTAGATGGGAAGAGCCGAGCCACCAACTGATATATTCAGGGGAAATCCCTGGGCTAAAACTTTAGTTACAAAAGGAAAAAAACACTTAACAGCTCAGGCATCAGTTCCAAATTCCAAAATAAGGAAAAACAACAGATCCTGATGGATTATCTAAACTTTTCCCTCTTTACACATCATAAGAAGTCTGTTCTTGGAGAGAGATGGGCCTCCTATCTCCTTCAGTCTTGGAAGAAACCTCTCTAAATGTCAAACAAAGAAACAGAGAAAACTCCTCTTTTCCGGTTTGAAATTCCTACCTGCATTGTTATTGGCTGACTACCTGATACCTGGCTAGGTAAAGGAGACAGTTAAGCCCTTAGTCACCAGGTGCTGGTCAGCACTCCTGATTTCACAGCATCCTTTTATAACCTATATCTCAAAGGGTGGGACACTTGCCGGGGGTGTCGGGGAATGGGAAAGAAACGCAGGTTTGATTTCCCCTGTCTGGAGCAGGTCCTTAAATTCAGGTGTCCACATTGCCAGGCAGGTGCTCTAGTCATAAGGCAATTGGCTATTCTGGGGTGAGCTGCTCTCAGTCTCTCCTTTTGAAACCACTGCATGTTTTATAAATATCTAAATATGTATTGGGCCAAAGAGCAAGAGCAATGAGAAAGACTCCATAACTTGGTGACTAAGACACTTGCCTGAGAACTGTGGATTCAAATCCCTCCTCTGAACTGAGCTGAGAGAAGATGTGGACTTTTCCAATCTGAGGACAAATCCCACACATTTTCTGACCCAAACCAAATATTTTTCCAGATCTTGACAGTACTTTAAAAAAAAACAATTATTTGCTCTACTCACAACAAACAAGAAATCACCTTACAGGGACCTGTCTGAGTGAAAAAGAGAGCACCTCAAATGTATTTCTGTTTATGAGAATCAGCAAGCATGCAGTCTTTATCCACTGCCATAACAAGATTATAGGCCAAGGAAACCAGAACAGGATCTGTGCCATACCCAGGCTTAAAGCTTTCAGAAAAATCGAGATATTGAGAATATGGGGCAATGCTAGAGCTCTCATACCACAACCTCACTAATACATTTCTCCAGATAAGGAATGTTACACATCTCCTTAAACTAGATAATCATATTTCAAGCCATTTATGTGTGTAGAGGTTATTTAATTAATCCATTTTAATTTGCCAAAATTAAACAGTAGTATAGTTGCTTTGGAAAATAACATGACCAATAGGTACCACTACAAGAACCAGCACCTTAAAACATCCAATGGTAGAAAAAAATGAGATGGGATCACTTGAGGAAAAGATTATCTAGATTTAATATCATCCTTTCTTCTATGTCCCTTCTCTCTGCAATTATAGATCTCTGCTTTCAGAAACAGTACTTTACCATTTGCTGAAAAGAATGCATGTTTAGTTCACTAAGACAGATATCAGATCCACAACTATTGTATATTTGGATATCTGATCTCCACAATTTACTGTATATTTGAACTGCTAAGGTGTTTTCAATACTATTTTATGTTCCTGATGCGCAATGGTGCTGCTTAAATGGGAAATCATGTTATCTTTAAAGATTTATAAAGCTTCATCATTTAGCACTCTGCACCCCACTGAGGCAGCATATAAATATTCAAAGTTTACCCTCTGTTCAGCAAATTAATCTGATTTAGTTACATCTTATAGTCCAAGTTAGTAATTATCAAATCAGCTATTTATATTAAATGAAACCACTCTTCCAATGGACAGAACAGGAAAATAAATCATTTGTCCTGTTAAGATTTGTTAAGTAATTTCCCCCCTCCCTTTCTATTTTGTGCTATGGCTTCAATCCTCAGGTACCTTGGTGACCTTTGGGATACAAACCTCACTGGAACAGAATAAACGTTAGTCTAATTCAAGCACATTAGACTCCAATTTCCTTGATCTATAGACTGTGTTCAAGAAGAGTTGGGAGAGTTTCAATCTGATAATATTTCTATTACATTAACTATTCAACATCAAGGAAATCAATGCAAAATCTCCTATTAGCTATTTAGAAATAAATCCATCTGACCAAGTTTAAAGTTATCCATAATGGATTGAAGACAAAATAAAAACAGGTTTTGCTTCCAGTCCAGTAGTCTCCAGGTTACTAGACATCTCAAGTACAGACACCGTGCTTGGAAGATTATACAATAATAAAAATTCCACCACTTTATCCTTTAAGAAAAGGATTTTTCCATGCATTCAGATGAGGGGAAGACTGTTCTTCACCCTTCTCAAATGCAAAAAGTGATCTAGTGGTCTAATCGTGGGCAACACTATGGGCCTGGGAAACAAAGTTTCTATTTTTGGTTTTGCCCTGGAGTAAAAAACTCAGCTGGTAATAGGTAACAACCGATAGTTACAGATGGATCCAGTTAAAACCCCAATTTGAAACACAGAAATTTCAGTGTTGTTCAGAAATCATAACATGAATCTAAATTTGAATTGTACAAATGGTACAGTCTTTAAACAAATAGTCTGAATTAAAGTCTCTGATCCAAACATCTCTACAAAACCTTTGAGGTGTTGGAAAGCTGGATCCAGGTGTTGTGGACCAAGTCCATCACCACATACAAATTAAGTTGCCCCTCTATTTCAAACTCATCAAACATTGGATTCAACTGCCTGCCTGTCATATGACTTCTTCCAAAGTTTATGGGGTTTTGTACTCCTTAGAATATACACAAGATTGTGATCACAATTTCATCAGCATAAATCTAGAGTAAACATGCTAAAATCAAAGGACTCAGAGAATTAACTAAAATGAAAATATTTTAATATAAGATGTTGGAATTATAGTTAACTTCGACTAAGGTTGTATTTAATGTGGTAGCTTGGATTAAATTAGTGGTGACCATTCCCCCCTTCCCCAGGCCATAATTACCAAACAAATGGTGAATTTTATGAATGCACAAACTTGGTGCAAAAACCAAAAAACTTCACAACAAAAGAATATTCATTATGAAACAAGTAAGAAAAAAGAAGAGTCTACCAGTGCAATAAGGATTCTAGCATTATGCATTTGTCTTCTGCATTTCAATGACCCCATATAAAAAAAGTGCAAAGAAGAAATCCTGAGGATTTTTGGGTATTTTTGTTTTTATTTACTGTAGATCATCTATATTTAATATAAAATCTAAAAGATATAAGACCCAAGAGCATCCTAAAGCTTCTGGAATTTTATGCAATCTGGCACATTCAATCTGAATCACATGAAGACTGATAACAGTTGCTTTGAAATTGACACGGTTCAGGCTGAAACCAGTCTTCAAAGAAAATCTTGCATTGAAAATCCTCAATCCCCATTTATGTTCCGAGCCCTTGGCATGTATGTATTTCACAAGGAGTGCACACTTCAGCCTGCATTATTTAGTCCTTAATAAAATTAACATTAGCTACAGAAAACAGGATTTGAGATGACATTTCAGCCAACGGATCTTTCCAAAACCGAAGACGAGGCCACAGCTAAGAAACCAATTCTGATCCTATTTTGTACCCTTAGCATTATTTGATTAACTTGCTAAACCTAGTTTAACACATAACACATTAAGATTTGCGTGGAAAAATAGTAAATGAGAAAGAATGTATTATTGAGTTCATAATAACATTCCCCCTAAAATGCCTGTCTTCCATGATTGCAATGTGCTGACCAAAGACATCCACTGTATTTATTTATTTCAGCTTATAAGAAGGAAAATTCTGAAATAGGTAAAAATAGATTATAAAAACGAATTCAGTACATCCTTTAAAGCAATTTTCTCTGCAACGGGAATAGCATTCCCCTCTATGCAATTTATCTTTAGTAATTATTCATCCACCATTATTTATTAAACATTTTCAAACTGGAAAATCAGAAGTTTAAATCCCCCAACCTTATGGAAAAGAAGAGACTGTTAATGTGTCATGAGAATTAAACTAACCCTTTCACCCATGCCCCCTTTTGAGCATTTCTGGGATGCATCTTTTAAATATTAAAAAAAAGAACACTTTTTCTATGACTTACGGTTGGTTGTTCTGCTTTGATCACTCTGAACGCTGTCATTTGACTGGTTGCTTGACACAGAGGATACACTTGAGCTCCTGACAAAACCAAATGCTGCCAGCTTAGCTGCTGGCAAGCGTGAATAGCCAGGAGGCCGAAGTCCAGATTGACATGGCTTGGGGAGATTGGATTTTGCAGCATTTGGGCATGGGCCATTTTTTAGGTCAACTGAAAAAAAGAAACAAAAAAAGTATTAAAATTGCAAAACCAGGACATGTCACAGAATACTTAAAATAAATCAATAAATTGATACAACATGAAAGTGAACATGTGTTTTAAAAGCTGCCTAAACTGCACGGGTGTCTTGGCCTCACTGGTGCCAACTATATATTTAAAACAATTACAGTGAAATACACTGAAAATCTGAGAGGGTATAAAGAAAATCCCATCCAACTAATGGACTAACAAGCAAATAAAATCTTTTATAAACAAAGTTATTGGATCACTTTCTGCAGTTAAATACTATTTTAGCTCTGTGAACTAAAATAATTTTAAAAATCAATATATAGATGATGTGATTTTGGAAGCTACATGATGAAACATTGTATCAACAATGGCAGCATTCCCACAAAGAAAAGGATTCTTTAAAAGCCAGATAAAGTTGCTAAATGAACTCACCCACACACCCACACTCTTAAAAAAAGGAAATGTTCACATCACATTCCAAGGCTAGATGGAATCACTGAGGAAATTTATTCTGGCCTTCTTTAACACTTACCACAGATTGTTCCAAAATAATGTCAAATCCTGAATTAAAAATTGCCAGTGATGGAGACTCCACCGCAACTCCCTTAGGAAGTTGTTCTAATGGTTAATTATGTTAATTGTTTAAAAGTTTTGCCTTATTTCCTATCTGAATTTGTCCACTGTCATGTTTCGAGACATCAAATACAAAAGGAGCCAGAAGACACCAAGGACAAGCTCTAACTCTAACTTTATTATACACAAAACAGTAAAGAAAAGTAATGCAAAGTTCCATAGATCTAGTCCAATGAATGGGGTAGTTAACACAGACAATCTAATAACACCTACACCTAGGACACTACACAAGATATTCAACTTTAAGGATATTGATACACATGTACTTATTTCTATAAATCATGCACAGTTCCACCATTAGCAAGCTTATGATTGTCGGATGGAAGGTTGCATCCTCTTTCTTTCCCCATGAACAGAGGCATCCACAATGCATTTGCGGATAGGAACAGGTTCAGCTTCTAGTTGTAACAAGTAAGGGGACACCTTACCCAGTCTCTCCCACTGATTATCTTTTCTACACCTATATTTGTACTCGACTTGGTCATTCTAATAATATCTACCAATTGATTATGTATTGTATAAGATATCTATTATGCCTACATTTGAGGTACATCCTGCCAGGATATTGCAAAAACTATGTGCTTAGTTACCTGTTTTATGGCTGTATCTGCCTTTTTGCTTATCAGAAATGAAATGTACCAGTACCAGTTCACTCCTGGTTCTCTTGTCTAGTCATGCTGTACCATGTTGGATATTCATGATTATGCAAAAACATTCCTACCTCAAAGCTCCGCCCCCCAGTTCTGTAGACACCAGAACTGGAGACAGTCTTCCAGCAGCAGTTGTACTGGTTACAAGCACAGAGGTAAAATAACGTCTCTCTTCCTACTCGAGAGATCCCTGTTTATGCATCCAAAGCCTGAATTAGCCCTTTTGGCCACAGCATCACACTGGGTCCTCATGTTCAGCTGATTATCCATCACAATGCCCACATTTTTTCCAGAGTTGCTGCTTCCGCCACCCTTGTAAGTATGGCCTACATTCTTTGTTTCTGCCATTGTGTAAGTGTGACCTTACACATAAGGGATGCTTAGTACACCTTCACCACCACTTCCACTGTCAGAATTCTCCCTGATACGGAAGTTTCAACCTAAGCAGATGAAGTTTGGCTAAGTTCTAAACATCTGAAAACAAGAGTTTAAAATGGAATATATTAGGCAACCTCAGCAATAGACATTGTCACCAGCTGTACCTCTAGAGTAATTATGGGTATGTCTACACTACCCTCCTAATTCGAACTAGAAGGGTAATGTAGGCATACCGCACTTGCAAATGAAGCCCGGGATTTGAATTTCCCGGGCTTCATTTGCATAAAGCCGGCCGGTGCCATCTTTAAATGCCGGCAGTTCGAACCCCGTGCCGCGCAGCATTTAAAAATGGCGCCGGCCGGCTTTATGCAAATGAAGCCCGGGAAATTCAAATCCCGGGCTTCATTTGCAAGTGCGGTATGCCTACATTACCCTCCTAGTTCGAATTAGGAGGGTTGTGTAGACATACCCTTGGATAGCTGTTAACTGATCATCCTTCTTCATTCCACTTCTAAACTTTTTGTTAAATGCTATGGCTCAGCCAAACTTTTCTAGACAACTCAGAAATGTTTCATAACTATCCCAAATTATCTTTAACTAGGGATATAGATATGGAGTTTGACTTTTGTTTGAAAAGCACAAAAAGTCTGGATGCTAATCCAAATTAGATCTAATCTATGCAAACCCTTTTAGAATACAAACTTTGATTAAAAACATGCAAGAACATTTTTTCTTCTAAGTTGTCTATTATTTCCTTCTTCCAGTTAGGCTGAAAATACTGCAGTTCTCTCCTGATATTTTGGAAATTTCAGGTTTCCATCTCTTTTGGACTCTAGGGCTGTTTCCAGACTCAGGGGGTTTTTTCGAAAAAAGTAGCCTTTTTTCGAAAAAACTTCACCTGCGTCTAGACTGCAGCCGCGTTCTTTCTAAATTAAATTGAAAGAATGCAGCTTTTCTTTCGACGGTGGTAAACCTAATTCCACGAGAACGCCTTCTTTCGAAAGTGCTCTTTCGAAAGAAGGCGTTCTTGAAAGCAAACAGGCTTTTTAGAAAGAGAGCATCCAGACTCACTGGGTGCTTTCTTTCAAAAAAGCGGCTTGCTTTTTCGAAATTCCGCGTGCAGTCTAGACGCTCTCTTTCGAAAGAGGCTCTTTTGAAAGTATCTTTCGAAAGAGGCTCTTTCGAAAGTATCTTTCGAAAGAGCTTCTTTCGAAAGAGGCTTGCAGTCTAGACATAGCCTAGGGGTATGTCTACATAGCAGTGTTATTTTGGAATAACTGATGTTATTCTGAAATAATAAAGAGCGTGTCTGCACTACAAGCCTTTATTTCGAAATAATGTTGAACTGGAGGACTTCTTACTCCAACTTCTGTAACTCTCATTTTATGAGGAGTAAGGGAAGTCAATCTATCACAGAGAGCTTTACACACTTGGGTAGTATTATCAGGCAAGATGGAGGCATCAGAAGCAATATCCAGAGCAGACTCAGTAAAGCCAGAAATGTCTTCATGAGTCTGAATGCTGTATAGAAGCCATCATAGTACAGCATCCATACCAAACTGAAATTTTATCAGAGCTGTGTTTTATCAACACTATTATATGGATCAGAATGCTGGCAGATGACAGAGTACCACCTTAATAAATTGTCAACTTTTCACACCCAGAGGATCCTCCATATTTTTTGGCCAAGAATATTTCCTGGGGGAGGAATAGCTCAGTGGTTTGAGCATTTGCCTGGTAAACCCAGGGTTGTGAGTTCAAGCCTTGTGGAGGCCATTTAGGAATTTGGGGCAATAATTCCATCGGGGTAGTACTTGGTTCTGCTATGAAGGCAGGGGACTGGACTGGATGACCTTTCAAGGTTCCTTCCAGTTCTAGGAGATAGGCAATCTCCATTATAAAATAATTTCAAATCAGGACCTTGTGCAAACAAGATGACAGGGCTAATATCATTATGAAAAGATGCTGGAGATGGATTGGGCAAGTGCTCAAGAAAGATGGAAACTGAAGGGAAGCGGAAATGACAATGACCCAAGACAATATGGCACCAGACAGTTAAAGTAGAAATGAAGAGCATGAAACACACTTGGGGCACTATTGAGAGCTGGACAGAGACAGAGAGAAGTAGAGGACCTTTGTTGCTGCCCTATACACCAGTGGGCATGAAGGGAAATCAAAGGAAGAGTGTTCTTCCTTCAACTTCCTGCTGTGTAGACAGCACCTAAACCTGAGTTAAGCTATTTCAACTTATGCTATGTAATTGATTTAGCTGAAGTTGCTTAATTCAACTTTAGCCCTGCTATGTAGAGGAACCCTAAGTGTGCAAATCCATAAGAAAGTGAAAAAGAAGAAAATTTTAAAAATAAATTTTCCAAAACATTCTGAAAAGTTGAATTCTAGAAATGTAGAAAAATGTAGGGTCTGTATGTGGGTACGAAACTTGTGATATTTCTGAATCCACCCCTACTTCCATCTGTCGTCAAAGTTCTTCAAGGAAGTAGTGAGATGTTTAAAAGCCACCAGGGTTATACATTTATTCAATCAAAATTTTCACCAAATTTGTCCCAGCTCCTCTCCCCACTTTGTGAAACTGCTTTAGGGTATGTCTACACTAGCCACCCTAGTTTGAACTAGGGTGACTAATGTCATTCGAACTTGCAAATGAAGCCCAGGATTAAAATTGAAGAATATTTCAAATTAAGTATATTCATAATCGTATAGGGAAAAATGGGAATAAACTGCTCAGCAACAAATACACCATTTGTATTTTCACAATATTTAAATCCAATATTTAAATCCACCACTAAATTATATAGGTCGTAGCTTTTATTATGTTTAATTAGGGATTACTGTTTGACAAGACTCTATGGAAAAGAAAAATAACTCTGAACAGAAAAATAGTTTTAAGTGGTATTGGAATTTGACTTATACTTGTGTATTTCAGCACAATAATACTAACCAGATTTTTTTAAGGAAAACAATTCTTTTGATGTAAAAATATATGTAAAGCTATGTAAAACTCCCCCAATCTGTTTTTTAAATGATTTCCTTTAAGTTACTCGACATAAGAGTAAAAGAGTTATCCACTAAGCCAATAAAGGGATTTACATGGAAATCTCCTAACTTAGAAAAACATTTAATAACTTCTCAAGATTTTAGGTAAGTACTAAGATTTAAGAACCCAGCTGTTTAAGTGTAAAGTCTTTTTAAGAGGTCACCAGAAGACCACGGGAACACGTGCACACACAAAAGATTTTTGCTTTTATACTTGCACACTATTTTGGTAACTAGTGTATTTTGCAGGAGCTCCACTTGCTCACC